CTCTAGAAATACCACATATTTTGGACCCAAAGGGTACCTTTAGTTGCTAAGCAAATCATTTTTACAACACTGGAAATTTCAAATATCTCCTCCTATAGACGCTTGGGTCAATTTATTTATTTAAATTTTTACACTGCCCTCCTGACTGGAGCCAGTTCAGGGCAGCTTTGTACAAAACAGAGATAACATGTAACAGGCAAGAAGCTCCCAGAACCTTCACCTTCATTTGGCATGTATTCTTGTACTTATTTGAGTAATGATATCTCCTCAACCTTTATTTCCTGTTTAATTGAATCCATAATGTTGAACCTTATTTTCTTAACCTACATTCCTCCTCCTCTGCTAATGGGACACATTAGGAAATGGAATGGGTGGACTATATGGGGCTTGGTTTGCTACACTAACTATTTTGTATGAAAACTAAAATCTTAATAAAAAAACTAGATAGACAAAAATGCATCCTAATTTTTCAGGCAATTAACATTATTGCTTGGAATATCACAATATTAAAAAATGGGTATGGGTTTTATTGGATCATAAAATAGCATTATACTGAATTAATTTTTTGCCTGTCTAGCTCAGTGATGTCTGCTGCTTTCTAGGTTCTGAAGGCAGAAAAGGACTCTTCCCAGTTCGTGCTATCCAGGAACATTTAACCTTGTTGTTGTTCAGTCGCACAGTTGAGTCCAACTCTTCACGACCCCATGGACCAGATCACGCCAGGCCTTTTGGTCTTCCGCCATCCTCTGAAGTTTGCTCAACTATGTTCGTTGCATCTATGACACTGTCTAACCAGGGAAAAAGCCGACCCCGAAGACCACCTGAAGAAACAGACGAGAGAAGCCGAGCCGAAGGAACAAGCGAATCCCACCCCTGGGTGCCGGTAGGCAGTCCCCGCCCCTGACCATGTGTGTGCCCATAGATAGGGATAATGAAATATGTAAGCCGCTCAGAGACCCCTTGGGGGGGGATTCGAGCGGGGTATAAGCTGAATGTATAATAATAATAATAATCTCATCCTTTGCCGTCCCCGTCTTCTTTGACCTTCAATCTTTCCCAGCATCAGGGTCTTCTCCAGTGAGTGCCCCCTTCTCATTTGGTGGCCAAAGTATTTGAGCTTCAGTTTCATTATCTGGCCTTCCAGGGAACAGTCAGGGTTGATTTTCTTTTAGGATTGACTGATTTGATCTTCTTGCAGTCCAAGGGACTCTCAAGAGTCTTCTCCAGCACCATAGTTCAAAAGAATCTATTCTTCGGCGCTCGGCCTTCCTTATAGTCCAACTCTCACAGCCATACATGACTACTGGGAATACCATTGCTTGGACCATGCGTATTTTTGTTGGCAGGGTGATGTCTCTACTTTTTATCATGCTGTTGAGGTTCGCCATCGCTTTCCTCTCTTATGTTCTAAAACCTGTTTGTTCTATAGCTCCTGTTCTGAGTGAAAGACAATAGCCATTTCCTACTGTTTTGCCCTCTAAAGATTTCAGTGTAATCCACTTATAGCCATTTCAATATAACAGATGGTTTTAGTATGGGAGATGGCTCTGCAATGATGTGTGTGTGTGTTCCTTTAAATGTTACTTTGACTGCAGTAATGCAAGGAAGGCGATAGGGGGAGATGAGTGTGCTGTGATTGGTTGATGACTGAGTGTGGGAGGAGATGTTCTGAGAGGAATCTGTGTGTGCTTTATGACAGTGTTCAGAGTGTATGTGTCTTAAAGCTTGCTAGTTATATTTTACAAGTTCCTTTTTCCAGAAACCTATTTTGTTCTTATTTCAATAAATCCATTTTTGTTTAAATATATCCCAGAGTTCAGTACAGTTCTTCCTCAGGGCCACATAGTTCCCTGAAGTGCCCAGACCCTGGGTCACACTACCAAAGGAGAGAAATTTGGATTTTTTAAATTCCTGGTGGCAGCAGAAACTACCAAGTTTATATACACAAAGTGTGAATTAAAGGAAAAACCGTTTCCCCTATAAGCAAGCACATCACAGAGGGTGGTTTAAAGGAAAAACAGTCCTCCCCAATAGTAAGGATGCTACAGGCTCTACTGCATGAAACAAGTGCAGCCACCGTTAGTTGGAACGGCCTATCCCTTAAAATCTTCTTGAGTCAGATTTAATTGCCCGTTCTTAATTTGTCCTCTAAGCAATTTTCTGTAGCCTTTTCCAAAAACTGACTAGGCTGAGGCATGAATGCTCTTTTGCCTGGAAAGGAAAGCTTCCAAGAGCTCTGCTATATACAGACAGGCGTCCTAGCCTTCTCCCTGAATGCTGAACTTTGAACATGGAGAGTTTACTATGCATGCACCTTTAAAAGTACATCTTCCATTCATTCTGACATAGTACAGCCTGAAAAACTACATAATTTTTTTTGTTCAACTGAATTTTTTATCTGCCTTCCTCCTTGAACAAACAAAAGCCAGAAAGAGAGACACTAAACTGCTTAGGAAGACTTGGATTATACACCACTTGTAATTACCAAATGACAGGTGGAAACTAAATGGGTTGTTCTAAAAACAAACTACAACACAAATGAGAGAGACTGTGCAGAACTAGTCATTTACAGGAGAGTTTGAGAAGTCTGGGCTATTTGTCTCTTAAGTGGACCAGTAAAACATTTTCATCCTTTTTGCAATGGTGACTTAGTCACAGCTGCTGCTGCTTCCCCATTAATAAGATCATGATTATAAGATACAGGTGGCAGCCAGCAATCCTGAGAGACTGATAGAAGTAGCCAGCCTGCTGCTTACCATATTGCACAAGAGTCTAAGCTACCCCACCTGGCGTACAAGACTGGCCGCCTTCCACCTCATTTTAGGAGGAGGGCTATTAGTCACTAGCAGGGGATTTCTCCATTCTCACTCAAGCACTCTTGGATGCTTCAAGGAGCTGATTTAACAACCCCATGTTGAGTTAACATTTTCTGCCTACAACGGATTCAGCTAAATGCTGCCAAGTTTACTGTTCAGTAAACTGTGCTTTAGCAAACTGTCCTGGGGGACATCCTCCAGCACAAACAAACCTGCTGCTCAGAGCAGCCACTCAATCAGATCTTCCCTAGAGCTCTCATACCTTCTAAGCTGCTGCAAGAACAGTGCTGAGCTGACTGCACCTTGGACAGAGAATAAGTGGATTTGCCTGCTGCAAGAGGACCACGTTAATGCAGCCTGCAAGCCTCAGGAGGAATTGGGCCGCTTGCTCCCTGCCAATAGACAAGGGATGCCCTCTGGAACCCTTGCACTCTTATCAGAGTTAGGAGAGTGACTGTGGCAAGCCTCAGGCACCTAACGGAGGAAAATGCACCTAGGGAAGACAATGATTATAACAACTGTTGCACAGAATGATAACTTGTGACCATCACCAGCCACTCCTTGGAGCAAGGGGAAAGATGGAGTTCTGCAATATGAAATCCTCAGCATGCGTGTGGCTTGGATCATATATAGAGCATTTTGGCAAGAAAGTGGAGGGGGGAAGAACACAATTGAAATAATTTGGGCTGCAAAGCTCAAAACATTTAATCAGACTATATTGCAACACCTTGATGTTAAAAAGGCTTCCTGGTTTATTAAGAATGCGGCATTTCTTTTAAAAAAGGACTCCCAAAACTGCAAGCAGCTTGCAATTTCAGGGCAGAATTTATTTTTATTAGTGCTCCCCCCCCCTGCCCCTCGCAGTTTGTCTTTGGTGTTCTCACTTCCATTGATTTCAGTAGGAAATATTTTGGGCTGCAACTCTGGATTCCTAGCCCAGCAGGAAATTCTCAGTAGTTGTACCCAAGGGATCATTTTCACCAAATTCGATAATTTAGATGGGTAGAGCTGCTAGGTCAGCTTGGCATATGATCGGCACTCTGTTGGATTTTGACCCTTATACTCAGAGATCTAACAATCTGGGGAAAACCTAGAATAGGGAATAAAGGTGCTTTTTAAAGACAATGGCTCTCATCTCTGATGGGATAGTACACTTAGCTAATTGGACCAGGGGATGACTTTAAACCATTTGACATTTTGTCCACAGAATTTCATCTCCCAATCCATGGCCAGCTGGCAATATGCACAACTGAAACATTGTCTATCTTCCGTTCTGGGACCAGAAGCTTTTGCAGCCTCAGAAACTCCCCTGTTTTTTAAAATTAAAAACAGCAATTAAAATGTAAGAAACCCTGGGCTCACTGTATACTTTTTTTCTGAGATGAGGTTCTAGTTACACAAATGATATTCTGAACACTACATACTCATTTAAATTGAATACTTTCTCTAGTGTCATAAAATAGTAGCATGTGCCTTAACTAAGCAGGGTGTACATTTACTGGCGGAGCTGTAACAGTAGCAAAAAAAATCTTATGACATCCTAAACAGAGTTGTGTCCTTCTAACCTCTATTATTCTAATCGGCTTAGAAGACTACAACTCTGTTTAAGATAGTACTGCCAAAAATAACGAAAGCCAAATGCTCACCTGCAACGAAGTTTAATGGCAGATTTAATGGGAAAAGGACGAGGGAAAGACAGGAAGAATAACGGATTCTTAGTTATGATACTATGATGGCATTACACATTCTGATAATATGAAACATCCTTGCTTGTGAAAACTTCCTCACACACTGTGAGGAACTAAATCACACACTAAATCAGGTATGGCCAAGCTTTTCAGCTGAGGGGGAAGAATCCTTACAAGTTCCACTGCTTAGGGCCAGACACGTCTTCTTATGGCTCTATAAAGTCCCACCACATGCCTCTGTATTATCCTTAGGAAAATCAGTCCCAGAGATGCAAAGGCTGAAGGACATCCAGCTTCAGAACGTAACAAGAGTCCCTCTGGAGCAGACCAATGGTCCATCCAGTCCAGCATTCCCGTCTCACATAGTGGCCAACCAGTAACTATGGTGGGCCAACAACAGGGCACAGAGGCTGAGGTCTTCCCCTGATGTTGCCTCCTTGTGCGGGTATTCATCCTCTGGCAGCAAATTTCACATTTCAATCACTCACTGTGTAAAGAAGTATTTCCTTTTTTCATCCTGAACCTACTATCCATCAACTTCATTGGATGCCCCTTTAGTCCTAGTATTTTGGAAGGAGAAACAATCCTGTCTATTCTTTCTACCCCATGCATAGCTTTGTAAACCTCTTATCATGTCCGTCCATCCACCCCCCCACCGTCTCTTTTCTAAAGTAAAGAGTCCCAGACTCTTGTGTTTCCTCCAAGGTGCTCCAACCCCTTAAAAATCTTCTGTACATTTTCCTGTCGTATGATGCCCTTTTTGAGATACAGTGACCAGAACAGCCCACATTATTCCAAATGAGGCTCCACCATAGCTCTATTCAGAGTAGAAGATGTGTATCAACTGCCATCAGGTGAAAAAGTGGCAGCCCGGCTGTTTTTACCTGGTACTGACACAACTTTGATTTTTATCAGTCACTGAGACCATTACTAAGCATAAAAGCTGGATACACATTTAATGTGACACCAGGGGTGCTGCACTGAGCTGCATTGGTTTTCTGAGGGCTTGTTCACGGAAACAGCTTGGCTGGTGCTAAATGCTACTTGTCTCAGACTTACACGGCATGCTGTGTAAGGCATCTTCCTTCCCCCGGTTAGTCAGGCCATGCCTTCAGTACTGAAAGAGGTGGCTGACTGCCCAGCTGAAGAAGCAGAGCAGCACAAATGCAAGCCAATATGGCTGGGAGGTTGTATGCCATTTCCAAGCAGAGCTGCTACCCCGCCCCTCAGCATGGGGACGGGTGAGAGAATTCAAGAACCTCGACAGGGTCAGTGTGCCAGACTTCATCTTTGAACTGGTGGGCACTAAACAGAACAGGGAAATGTTACTGACAAGCCAACTGGCCTTCCCTGCTTTCGAGAGTAAATTCTTGATAACCCAAGCTCTATTCTACCATGTGACTGATGGTCCTTTTCTTCTTTACTTGAATAGCAGCCCAACAGCTGAACTTTATTAAAGCATGTTTGTTAGGGCATCCATCCACTAGCATCTTAAAAGGGCAAAAACGTAATTTCAGCCTTTGCTGGCCAAAAAGCCACAGAGCATTTTATAAATCTACCAGGAAAGGGAGGAGGGGTGTGTGTGTGTGTGTGTGTGTGTGTAGTCAGGAATTCCAGCTTCTAAAAGGGACTCATACCAACACAAATGGGCATCCAGTTGGAAGTTACAAATGCATCCACCTTTGCATAAGGAACACTTCTCAAACTCACAGAGATGTAAACATGTTCATTCAACAATTTGTTACAGCTGCAAGACCAATTCAGCTGCCACCTTCTCTTTAAAGCCCCACTGTAAGCAAAGTCACCACAGATAAAACATTCAAGGGAAATAAGCTCTTTTTCATATCTTTCAGTCACTCCATTGCCTCGGGCTGCATTCCCTCCACATCCCGACACTTGGAATTCACCAGTTCCCTACGGATCTCTGGGGAGATTTGGGGATGGCTCTGGAATCTGAGCAGCTCCAAAAGGCCTTCCTTCTGCTCTGAGGAGAGGTCTTCTTTGTAACGCTGGACAAAGGTCAAGAGACACTGATGCCACAGAACAGGCAAGGTGCGTTGGTCTGTCCGGAAAGCTAGGAAGTGGAAGACCAGAGCATCTACAACACGGAAAGGCAAGGCATACTTCTTGTCAATAAGCAGGCGGAGGAAAATGCTGCTGGCACCACTGTACTCCATCTCAGCAATCTTTAGCATAGCAGCCCTGCATTGATTAGAAGACACAGAAAGGTTTGCGACAGCTCACAAACTGATCCCCCAGGTCTCAAAATGGACAGAGAAAAGGTGTCAGAAAAACAAAGTATTTTAACAGAATGCCCCTAGAACAGCAAGTATATTCTACACAGCTGCTTTTGTATTCATGCTATGCCCTCAGCATGCCTTCTGAAAATATTCTATAGCAGGAACACCATGCAACAGATTAGGATGCCTCTAAAGATACCACAGTGGCCTTCAAAAGTTTTTACGATGCAAGAAAACTAGAAATACATGGGAAGGAGGGTTATCCCATAATTCCAGTTTTAGTTCCTTTCCACCCTCAAATCAGCCCAGTCCCCCTCCTCCTTACCCAGAATGAAGAACAGGGATAGAGCACTGTGTAATAATGCTGCCCACAATTATGGCTTCTCTCAGCGTACATGTTCCTGATTCACACAAGGGGATAAGGATCCCTGGAAAAAAGGCAGTGGTGGTTAAACGTTATGTACCTATTCTTCTATAAAACTTTACACAACTAATTACCATGACATAAGGGCTAAAATTATTTTTAAAAAGCCCCAGCAACAACATAATTTGGCATCTGAAAGGTCTGCCAGGTACGTTATAAGTGCTCCAGAACATGAAAAAGCAAGCATAACGAACACCGTAACACAGTCTGAAAATATTTGTCAGTAAAGCAAACTGAATAATGCTTCCAAGCCTAAGTGAGTAACTCATACCAGGTTAAGACAGTACAGACCATTTTACTTAAACATGAGTTAGCTCTTATCCCATGTTGCGGATCTGATTTAAAGAGCAAAAAAGGGTATATGGTTCAGGGAAACTGAACTCTCTTTTCTGCAGCACCTTCCTGGTACTGGAGACTGGTTAAAAGAAAAATGCCACAGACACTTAGCTTGTTCAACTCTGATTTCCTCAATTATAGAGGTGGTGAATGTAGAGAGGGTCCCCACCTGTCTTTCCTCTAAATCACACATCTCCACATCAGTCTAGTTCGGCTATTATTTGTAATCACCCCTTGTATAAGGAACCAGGATATCAGGAACCAACAACTGGAGGCTTGCAGGGTCAGCTGGCCCCACACTATCTTCCCTCTTTCCACCCCCACATCCACTTGGAAATCCCAACTAGGAACCCAACTATTTCCCCTCATTTTACTTTCCAGGGCCTTCATATCAGTTTTAGCACCCCATACACTTCAACCTGCCCTTCTTCCAGAGCTCCTTCAATTCTGTAAAAAAGGGTGATATTACACAGTTAGTACAATCTATATTTTTCTGTGTGCACTGAAACCTTGCTAGATTTGGGGGTGCAATCACCACTTTACTTGATTCACTCTGTTCATAGCCAGATCTGCTTTCCCCCCTCATCATCCTTCCTGTCTCTCTACCAGTTCCCTTCTTTTCCTATTCACTTCCACAATCAATAATCTCTTCTCAGCATCAAGACTTGTTGCCATTATACCCTGATGGCGTGAATCAATCTGTACTGACTGGCCTCTAATATACAGTGAAATCCTACGTAGTTACACTGTTCTAAGCCCACTGAAGTCAATGGGGTTAGAAGAGTATAGCTCTGCTTCGGATAGGACCGTTAAATAACCTAATTTCTACAACTACTAGTCTCTGCTCTTTTTTAGCCCCACCAATCATTTTCTTTGGCTTGCATTACAGATCATCACCATTATTGCTATCTTTAATGGGCTGGTCTTATGACTGTTTTAAATGCTCTTTTAATGTCTTGATGTTTTAATGCTGAAATGTTTTGATATCTGCTGCACTGTGGACACTGTTTGGGTGGAAAGGCAGCACAGAAATGTTTATAATAAATAAATGAAATGGTCCAGACACAGCTCAGCTCCACAAGCAGTTCTCTCAAAAGGCAAGACGTTCTGTTTTTGATGAAAAATAACACCATAAGCCTGACTCTAGGGAGCTTCTGCCATTCTGTGTATTTATTATAAGCAGGAGTTACACAGTGACAGATTTAGCAGCAAATCCTCATTTAAAAAGGCGTTCTCAAAGTTCTCTCTACCCGATAACCCAGCCAGCACACCTCCATCTTTCAACCTTATATTCAGAATTGATTGTACTGCACACTCAGGTTTCTCCTACCTTTGAACCAGGCTCCAGGCTTGAACAAAGCCTTCTTCAGTGCCATGTAAAGATGGAAATTGAGGCGTTTATATTCAGCAATGTCATCTCTGATTCGAGGGAGTAGCACTAAGTTATAAAACCTCTGAGCCATCTTCTCTTTGAGGTTCGATGAAAATATTCTTGAGAAGCAACAGAGGTGGACAGGGAAGAGAAAAAAGGAAGCATAATGATACTCTCCAGCTAATAAGGCTAGGGAGCAGTCACTGCTAAACCTCCTCTGATGGATATATATTCTGTGTAAGTAACTTGAATGTTCACACAAAGCCTTAAATCTTCCCTTTATACTGCAAGATCTCTCAGGTACAGAATATCCTTTCAGACATGCATGCATGATGCTTTCTACAGTGAGGCAGTGCTTGAAGTCGTTATCTAAAAAGCCATCCCTAAACTGGCTATGAGGAGATTCATTTACAACATAGCTTGTATGTTAAAAACAGAGCTTCATATGGTATTGTGCCATAAAGAGGAAGAGGAACCAAAGACTTCCTGTGATACAAAGCATGCACCAATTATAGGATGCATTTTCACTTGTGGCTTCCCCTTATACCTCCCGAGCACCATGCTCTGCTTCAGGTCCTGGCCCAAAAAGCTGGAGCTAGAATGACTAATAAAAAACCTTGTCATAGTCAAATTTGCACCATACTTAAGCAGTCCAGGCAGAAACTACTGCATGAGGTGGGAGGGTTTTATTCCGTCAAGAGCAAGGTACATTCTGTTGGTGCAGGATATGTCCTGCCAACAGAGTCCCTTGAATCAGTGGGTTGCCCCATCATTAGTGGAACAGGGCGGCATGATACAACCCATTGCCTACAGGAGAATCACAGAGAGTGTCCCCACCTGGTTGCTTGGTACATGGCAGCTGCTGTCCATGTTTCTGGCTCCGTGATATAAAGGATCTGCTCCCAGTTGGATAATGCTGGTATGATCTTGAAGGCTTTGGGCAGTTTTCCACTTCTGTATTTTGACAGAACCTTTAAAAATGTTTATAATTGGTTAGACCAAAGATAGACAGGGGAGATTGTTCATTCCAGGGTTTTTCTTCACTATATGAGAATTGTACAAGACCTTGTATGAGAATACTTTAAGAAACATTCAGGGATATTAATTTTATCACAGCAGGACTGTTGGGGGGGGGGCGGCGGCTTTGTGTGCCATCCTAGCATTGTAGTTTCTGACAATTTTGTGGAAATACAAATATGAACCAGGGCTGAGTTTCACACTAATAGGTTGGAACAATATATGAGGAATTAAAATTAATATCCCTGAATGATCGTTAAAAGATTTTTATACAAGGTCTTGTGTATATCCTGCCTTTTTTCCCAATAGGGACACAAAGCAGCTTACATCTTTCTCCTCTTCTCCATTTTATCTTTGTAACCATCATTGTCACCTCCTGAGCATCATCCGGCCATATACACAATCACTTGCACTAAAGTAGTATTACACTTACTTCTCTGACTCCCTTATAGACCTCTAGGACACGTGGATCAAGCTGTGGCATGGGCCGACCTGATACTTCTGACATCACTGTCTCTACTTCTGTTTGTTTTTCTGTGATCTTCTCCATGATGATGTCTGCTAAGGTGCGCCTAATGGATATCAAAGGGAAACAATGAAGGCTTACCCAACCATGGACCTTATCAACCATAAAATTAGCAAACCTAAATGACAGTTTGATTCCATGTCTGCATTCCAAGGAGGTTCCACCTCTCCCACATGAAAGTCCTTTCCCCCCCAAAAACAAGAGATTTCCATTTGCAATTAAAACTGCAGCAATCCTAAGGGGGCACCTTCTTATAAGAGCAAGCCCCAGTGAATAAAATGGGTGTACTTCTGAACAGACTTCCTTAGGCTTGCTCCCTAGGTCACAAGCATACATAGTGACAAACAAAAAGAAGTTATTCTAAATCCATGTTGCATAAAGACATGTGGTTTTGTACACTATGGGGGCTAGAAACTTAAGTTACCAAAACAACAACATAAACAGCTCATAGGTGTCATGTACTATGCTCCTAGAGGAAATACCCTACCATTTTTATGCACTAGACTAATTAAAATGCAATTAGAGTTGGGCTTTCAGTTACCAATGAGATACTGAATGCAACATTTATTGACATAATGCCTAAAGCACCCTCTGCTGGTTAAAAAAAGAAACATTTCTCCCAAGTTAATTGGAAGTATTCCAGGGGACCAAGAAGTATTCCTGTGGATCTAAGGAAGTTATGTTGATACCCTGCATCAGTTACTGCAAACGGATGTGATATAACCCCTACATTACATATCTTGCAATAGCTCACACATGAATTAGTGGTGACAAATTCCTTTTATGCAATTATCTCCCGCCCTGCAGGGTTCTACAAAACAAGCAAATATTAATATGCAAAGTGAGGGCTAAGTGAAACTGCAGTGTTGTCCTTAATTCTGTGGTTTCCAAGAGTGGTACCAAGATTATGAGAATCACTGCCTTCCCATGCCAAATGTACATAGCCCCACAAGGACTTCTTGTGGTCTCAGGTACACTTGAACCCAAGAACTGTGCAGAAGGAGTTTGTCAACTATCATTGTTAAACTAGCTCTCGATATATTGATACATCATCTGAGTAAAGTACCTCGTTGAAGCTTGTCAAGTGTAATTACTGTAAATCAAGACACTTTACCTGGCACTGTTTTTTTCCAGCCAGTAAATAAAAAGATTACAAAATAAGAACACAAAAGAGACCTAGAATAACTCAAAGTATTTCCCTATTGGATAGCCCATAAATTAAATGCCAAGGCCTAGGGAATTACAAATATTTTCACATACAGCCCAACATGCTTTAATTGGGTTAGGAAGGCAACCCCCACCACTAAGTTTTACATTAACAAACTTTCACAGGTAATCTATTTTATTTATTTTTATTTTTGCGGTTTATATCCCCACCCTACTCCACAAGCGTGCTCAGGGCAGCTCACATCAAAGACATAAAACAACAGAGAAGAAAATTTAAAATATCACATACTCAGTTACAATTATAATTAAATCAATAAGTTAAAACAATAGGTTAAGGATTCTAGCCGAACAACATGGAAATGGGTGTTCTTCAGAGTATACTAGCCCCATGCTAGAGGTGATAAATCAAGACGGAATGATTCAATCGCCCGTTGTGCCAGCAATATAGAGCACCAAGGCAGTCGGAACAGGGGAGGCCGATGTTATTTGACATCCGCTGCCTCAACTACACAAGAAACAGGGCCATATGTAGTACATGTCCAACGTGAGTGGTGGATGTATGGACTGCTGCTTCCCAGGTGAAGGAAAACCCACATGGGATGCACCCAGGGGAAAAAATTCCATCTTCTGCACCAGCTTTCTGTCTCCTATGCATACTCTGTTTCATATTTTCAAAACCATTGGGTTAGTTAATTCAGTCTCAGCAAAAACAGTTGACACTACAAACACACATACACAGAAAATCCTTATTCAAGGTTAGATTTTATGTCACATGTGATAAAACTTCAAAAACACACATGAACAACTTATGCTTACCGCAATGGTGGATTCTTGTTCATGAACATCTCAATAGCCTTTTCATCTTCCATATTCACAGTCACCTCTTTACAATAATCTCCTTTCTCCATGGTTGCAGCTTTCTCCAGCGATGGCCACTCATCATCCTCTGTGTCTGAATTCCCATCCTTTGATGTAGGCCCTAGAAAAAGTGGGTTAAAATTAGGGTTGGACATTTCATCATCTCAAGCAACTCACTTGGCACATCTGTGTTATTTTCAGCATCACTAATGATGGTGATTCAGAAAATGTTCAAAGAGGTAACAGTATCATGGCTCTCTGATGTGCAAGGGGTCTGTCACTCTAGAAGTGGGCCACATGAAAGCAGGCACTCTAAGCTGAGTGTGAGCTAGCTCACAGTTTTTTAGCCTCCGACTCACACATTTTTGTCTTAGCTCAGGAAGGATGGCTCCAGAGCAAACTAATTTATGCAGCAACCAAATGGCTCACTCACAAATTTAATGCCAGTAGCTTGCAAAGTAGAATTTTTGCTCACAAGACTCCACAGCTTAGAGGGAGTATTGGCCACAGCCCCTCCCCACTGAGCCACAGCACAAGCATGTGCCACTTCTGTTTCCAGTGTTGTGAGG